TATTTATATTAATATTATATAATAATATAAACAAAATGTATAGATTTATTATTATAGTTTACACATTATGGAAATAAATACACTAACGTTGAAAAGTTATGGGTTTGGTAAGTCTCTCTTGCTCACCAAGGCTGCATTTATTTGATCACAAATACAGTGAGTAATATTGTGAAATATTATTACAATTTAAAAGCGCTGTTGTTGTTGTTTTTTTTTTTTCAAATTATATTTAAATTATATTTAAAAAAATTTGTGAGTGTCACATGATCCTTCAGAAATCATTCGAATATGCTAATTTGATGCACAAGAAAAATTACTATTATCAATGTTGAAAAGTTGTGCTGCTTAATATGAATCAGAATGAGCTTTATTGCCAGGTATGTTTACACATACGAGGAATTTGTTTAAATATGTTTGTGGAAAAAAAAAAATTCTTTCTTTAGGGGTCTTTTATGAATGGAAAATACAGTGAAAAACAGTGTACATATCATAACTGTCACTTTTGATGAATTAATGTGTCCTTGCTAAAGAAAAGTATTAATTTCTTCTATACAGATAATATATATATATATACATATATATATATATATATATATATATATTCACTGACACCATCAAGAACTAATGCTTCTGATAGTAGGCCAAGCATATCAGCTGATATGTCCACAAATTGGCATATCAATCATTTACTGGCTATGATAAACTAATCTCTCAATATATAGATCTTTGTTTTGTTAAATATAAATGGTGCTATAGTGAGTTTTTGCAACACACCCTCTCCAAAAGCAAGAATCCAGGTGCAATCTTTTACCTTTAGCTTCTCAGCTCCTCTCGAACACCTGCTCTATTCCTCTACACAGTCCCACAATGCTCTCTTCTCTCCAGCTATTTCCCTCTCTTCCTAGGCTTGGAGGTGTGCAGTACCTCCCCCTTGCTCATAACCAACTGACAACAGTGTTTGATTAAAAGCGCATTTGGACGGTAGAGAAAGAACCCGACCCGGCCTCCATAATTAAGATCACTTCCGAGATTACTCACGACAACAAAAGTGGGGAAAGCGGGGATCCGGCGGCCAAGGCGAGGGGACGAAACAGAGGAGCATGGGACGGGGCAGACCCCTCGTGTGCCTTGATCAAACGTACAATCGAGGGGAGACGGACCCCTACGGCTCCCATCGCACAAGTCCTTCTCTGGGGTACGAACACATCCCGCTTTACGTATCAGTAGGTGATATATTCAGTACACGCCGGCATTTCACACATGTACACACACGGCAATTTCACAATAAATCCCAAATTAGAGGGAAAGAAATGACAAAGTCCTCCCAAATAAAGGCGCTAACACGCAGACACATAGCATGGGAGCAAACAAACATTTTCGTATGCAATAACGCAAATACACACACTCCATTTTGGAGTAACAATGCTGCAGGTGCTGTTCAAGTCTAATGAAGACAAATAAACGTGCGAGAGTGCCTAGAAGTCACATAATAACAAATAAAGATCAATACTTCTCAGAGGAGAATTATTAGCCAGCTTTGTGAGTTTTAGCCAAAAGCCTCTGGGTGTGATTTGTTCTGTCTCACTCATAACTTCCCTTTTTCACAGCAGACACAGAAACCCCACATCACATTTCTCTTTCTCTCCTTCTCTCGTGTGCGCTCTACTGTGGCTGTGGTTAGGGCGCTCACTGAGGCGTTGCGAGTTAAGTGGCCTGCCCAGAGGGAGCGTGGAGCTACGCCGTGGCCCACCTGGGCCTTGATCCCGAGACCTCCTGCGGTCAGAGGTCCATCTCCTTAACCGTTCCTTGGTGATGCTTCGCATTACCCCGGCCATCCTCAGCCTCCAAACCCAGCGCGGCAGGCCATCAATATAATCACAGGGATGTAGTGTGCGCCGGAGAGCCCCGAGGCTACGGCAATCAGTAGGGCTGAGTGAGGGCTAAGAGAGACTGAGGGGAGAGAGAGAGAGAGAGAAAAATATATAAATCGAGGAGCAAATCTCCCATAGCTTCCCCATTCGGCTCGTGCCGAAACAGGATCGCGTCGGATCATCATTCCTGGAGACGTGGGATGAGAGGGGGGCTGAGGTCTGCACTTTAAAGGGGACCTCCCACGACGGAGAGGGGGAGATCGGGGGAAGGGGGGATCATGAATCTTCTCTGCCCAACCTTAAGCCTCTCTAGTTAGTTGATCTAACGATGACTGGTCACAGTACCATCATCATGCAAATTTAAACAGAGATGATCTTTTAGCCGCCTGATGAGGGGGCCACACATACAGGAAAAGTGTTAATGATCAACAGCAGACCACAGGCCTATTTAGTCATTTAGCAGACATTTTACACCGTTTATGGAAAATGCACAGCATGCTTTCAAATGCAAGCAGGAAACAGAATGCCATCTTGTTTCCCCAAGAAAAGTCCAGACACAAAGGATATGCTGTAAACATACACTTCCAGTAATGTTCTGAATTTTTTAACTTCAAAAATGCATTTTCCTACAATAAACAGGTTAAAAGGTAACTCTTGTGCTCGTTCACTTGACCTCGGGAAGTTAAGAAGGATGCCGGCGGTTGATCTGACGCAAAGAAGTCATGCATAAAAACTTCCAGAAGTGTGACTGAACCCTAAGCTGTCCTTTCTGAACATGCCTTCCATTTTTTTTTTTCAGTCGTGTGGGTTTGGAGTGGATTGGATCGTCCACATTATCACAGGCTGATCTATACTGACAGCCTTATTTACAAAAACGTGGGGAAGAGTAACAAGGCAAGTTACCCCACACTCTCTCCTTCACTCACTTAACTTAGCTTTCTCCCAATTACAACGATTGGCACAGACGCCATAACAAAAGAGATGAAACGGGCAACTTAAGAGACAGACAACAACACTTCGTGATCAAGACTGAAAAAAGGGAGCAGGCGAGAGAACAAAAACAATAACAGACAAGAAAGGGGGAGAGGGAAAAGAAGCTGATTTGTGAAAACCGGCAGAGATTGTGGGAGATGTGTTATGGGTAAGCGTCAGCAGGAGGGGAGAAACACATCTTAAGACTTAAAAGGTGTGTAAAGTAAGCTGAGCATCGGGGGAATTCTCTCTGAGAGCCCCTTTAAAATTCACCTCTGTATTAATGCAGATAAATAAAGGCAAATTCCCCAAAGTAGGAATGGCAGAGGATCGCCAAATCCAGGTGTGAAAAACTTGTTGGATCTTTCCCAAAAAGACTCATGGCTGTATTAGATCAAATGGGTGCTTCTACTAAATACTGAGCATTTTTCAGTTTTTCTTTTTTAATAAATTTGCAAAAATGTCAACAATTCTGTGTTTTTCTGTCAATATGGGGTGCTGTGTGTACATTAATGAGGAAAAAAAATTAACTTAAATGATTTTAGCAAATGGCTGCAATATAACAAAGAGTGAAAAATTTAAGGGGGTCTGAATACTTTCCGTACCCACTGTATGTCTACAGGATTTAAACAATGCAATTATTTCCATACAAAAGTAGGTAAAACCTCCGCCACAAACACTACAGTAATACAAAACAGATGCTTTTATGATCTTATAATATTCTATTTCACTGACATACAAACATTTAAATTAAAGGGGGGAAAATCTGTGTGGGTAACTTTTTTATATGAAAAAGATCACACAGATTAATAATAATAATAATTATTATTATTATTATTATTTAAATTCATTTATTATTATTATTATTAATATTAATAATAATAATAATAATAATAATAATAATACAACCCAATTTGTCATCTATTTAATGTGTGATATTCTCCAGACCCACTGAAATTGGGCCTGGCCTTTACCTTGGGCAGAAATGAGCAGATATATAAATACTTACATACTTAATATTTGTTCTGGGTGGAAAAAACTGTATGAAGGTCTGCATACTCATATGACACTGAGGGTCTGAATGTGGCAGTGCTGGTATGGCTAGAGGGGTGCAGGGTGGTTGACAGTCACAGAGGGGCATGTGTTCAAAGCCTGGAACGCTCATTAGCATTCGGACCTATTTATTTACTTTAAGATCTCCAGAAAAACAGTTAAACCCTATTAGAGCTTTCGGAGGAGGGGAAAATTGTGTTTTAAAAGTTCTAGGTTGCATGGGGTTTAAAGTCACTAAATATTTGCAAAGAGCCATTTGGGTGAAAGATGCATTCATATTTAGAAATAAAAAACTGTAGAATGTCAACTAAAACACTGAGAAAATAAGTAAAAGATGCTCAGTGTCTTTATAAAATGCAGTTCATTTACAATCATTCATTAAAAAAAATAAATCAGCATTAAAAAAATAATAATTTTGAATAATTTAAAGTGTATTAATTCTATTCTACTGAAGGAAATTCCAATATTAAGGTCAGATATTGAGCGATACGGCCCCGATGTGACCATGATTCAGTTCAAAGTAGCAGGACAGACGTGCAGAGGCATTAAAGAGCTTTGCAAACAGGCGGTCATGTCCCTGACTGATATCAAGCGGCAGTTATCAGCACTGCCACACACAGATCTATCACAGCCTGTTCAAGAGCACAGCACAGATATGTTAAATACATCACCCTCTCTCTCTTTCAACATCTTTCTCTCTCTCGCCCTCTCTTTCCCAGTGCCAGTGCTTCCCTCTTTCCCCTCTGTATGCCATCTCTCTCTCTCTCTCTCTCTCTCTCTCTCTCTGGTTAGAAGCTGCTAATTCACAGGGTCTGATCTGTCTGTAAGGCTGGAGACGCCAATGCTATCATTATCAGCCAATTCAGCCAGCCGTTAAATGGAGGAATCAGGAGACATTTGCTCTCCTCCACTATCGCAATGACATCATTACCGGGAGAATCAACAGCACAAGCACTCTGACCGTGTGTTAGTGTGACTGTGTAAGTGTGTGCGTGAGCATGTGTGCATGTGTGCATACACATTGTGTGTGTGTGGTGTGTAAAACATAAAAGGGTCGTTCGTATTCAGGGGAAATTGGGGGGAGTAAAAATAACATGAGCCTACCTGTGAGATACCAAGGACCGGGACACACTGTCAGCTGAAAGTTCCCAAGTGCAGAGCATGGAGAGACAAAAAAAGAGGGAGAAGGAAAAAGAGAGAGTGAGTGAAAAAGTCGTTTGCACATACAGGGTAAATGGCAGTTTGCCGCTAGCTGTGGCACTACTTTTTTTTTTTCTTTTTTTTCGCACCCTCCCTCCCTCTTTTTCTGTCTCCTTTCGCCGCCCCTCTCCAACATTGCGCTAATAGCCACCTGTGAACCACGCAGCCATATGATCCACTTCCAGGCCTCTGGAGTAGAGTCACCTCTGTGTTTTTCGGCCCCCTCCTCCAATGATAAATCATCATCGTTTAGCTAATATCCGTTTTTAACCTCTCTCCCTGATTAACAACACTCTTCCCCCCTGGATACAAACCACTCCTGCTACAGTGCAGCTAAATAGCTTGCCTCTTTTCCTTTTTTTTCCCCCCTCCGCTCTCTTTTTCGTATTCCTTTGCTCTTGGTTTCTCTTTCCTTCACTTTTTAAATTATAGGTCCTTCAAAGATAGGACAAATAACAATTCATTAACCATGACTGTCACGTCTGTTCGAAAGGGTCACTATCAGCATTTTAACCTTCAACTGCTCAAGAACAGGAAGAAAAGACACATGCATTTTAATTAACCAATAAAAAACAATTCTAAGTAGCAAATAAGCAAGAAACAGATGTTATGGATTACAAAGTGTCTGGAAACACATAAATATACTTGTGTAAAATTGTTGCGGTGATTATGCACACAAAACTACAGAGATAAAAAAAACACATTGAGCTTTTGATACGGCACCCCTAGTGGAGGGGGCAAGAGAGAAATTCAGTCTGTGCAGATCTGACTGGAAATTGTCAAAATATTTGCAGCAAAGGAATTCCGACATGCGAGCGGCTTGGGCTCCCCTTCAAAGGACCCATCTTCCCTGAGTAACAAGTGGAGGGAATGAGTGCCGACAGAGAAGCTAAAATCCCCCAGGCTAAAGAAATCCAGCTATTGTAGTAATAACCCCCGAGACCTGGCTGAGTATGTACAGCTTTCAGAGGTACTTCTCATCCTATTTGTAGCCCCGCCAGTGATGTATGTGCGTGTGCGTGTGTGTACTGGTAAGTGACGGGGTGTACATAACGTAGGTCACTTCACTGCTCATGCGCTCCTTTAAACAGGCTCTTTTTATCCATGTTCTCTTTCTTCATCCTATTTGTAGCCCCGCCAGTGATGTATGTGCGTGTGCGTGTGTGTACTGGTAAGTGACGGGGTGTACATAACGTCACTTCACTGCTCATGCGCTCCTTTAAACAGGCTCTTTTTATCCATGTTCTCTTTCTTTTATTTATTTATTTATTTATTTATTTTATTTTAGACAAGTGCAACTTCCCACCACAAATACTCGCTGGGGTTTGCCTATAATACTATAATGTATTTTTTCATCTCTCTTCTAATTTTTTTCCCTTTTTTGTTCCACAAGGCAAGTTTCATTAAAGATCCAATTATGCAAATCAGGTCCTGAAGAGCCAGTTGAATATGCAGTATAATAGTGTACCGTAATAGTTCAACACAATATACTGCATCTGAGGCAGATTTACGAGGCAACATAACTGCTACGCCTCCATCCTTTGGAGAAAACCTCTTGATCATAATTAAAGGTGCAAGGTCCCTCTTTACTTCTCAGTTGCGTCCATTTTAACCACACTCGGGGTGGGTTGTGCACCCGTTGGGGTCATGACCTGGAAACAGTTCAAGGGTAGGTGTTGTTAAACTCCCCCAATTATCTGGATACATCTTGTTACAGAGATGCCCTCCACTCCAGCGGCGGACCACCCAGCCATCAGAGGTATCTGCCACTATTTTTGGTGCCTGTGCAGCACTGCAAATATTTACCACTATTTTAAGAGCTCAGATTAGAATGCAAAACATCATAATAGCATGTGCTTAAGGCCAGTGATTGACAGGAAGTCGCTTGTTTGTGCAAAGCCCCTGTCTGCTGAGATGACATGGTTATCATTTTGTGCTTCTCACCGACTCAAAAGCAAACCGTCATGTCAGACGGTGCCTTATAGTACATAGGAATTAGTTGTTTGTTTGTTTTTTACTAAAAACGTTAACTCAGCATTAACCTCAATTATTAAAAATAAGATGCAAGGTGTAAAAAAAAAAAAAAAAAAGTGGGATGTGGTCAGCTAAATAGGAGTCCCATTTCTGGAAAACGAGTAACGCTGTAGCCGAAGGCTGACCATGTCTCCCAAGGCTGTGTAAAACTGCCCGATTCAACACTCTCCATAATGACCACATGACCCACAGCTAGACTTGTGCCGGTATTCGGTAATGCGATATATCACGGTAATAAATATGCACGATATTGTTATCGTGGGCACTTCTAAATACCGTGAATAATTATATATTACAAATTATTCAGAATTTTGAATGCATTTTAAGAATACTTTTCCTATCAACTGGTCAAAATGCGCACTCTGACGTAAACAAGCGGACCAGAAGCACATGGCGATTAATCGCAACATGAAAATTTGATACCGGCATATCCCTACCCACAGCCTTTCTGTACACACACTCTCTCACTCTCTAAAATGTGTGCGAGAGCGTGAGCACGTGTGTGCACCCATTCCCTCTCCCACAGGAGAGAATTATGAGAAAGAGGGAAAAACTTAGCAGGATATGAAACATCTGCACACATCTGTTCGGTTCTGTCATCTGCGCATGGGCTAACTTTAACTGTAACGTATGCTTCCATTCCAGTGCTCAATATTCCTCAAAGTGCCATTAGTCTATCTATATATTTTTCTCATGGAAAGTGCCTCTGGGTGGAGTAGAGCAAGGACCCCCTCTCTCTCTCTCTCTCTCTCTCTCTCTGCTCTGTAGACAGACAGACGCTCCTTCTGGTGGCACCCTGGCATGAGACAGTGGAGACAAGATCATCCGTCACCACCTCATCTGTCAGGGCACTCTTTATTCTTAGATCACACACTGACTGACGTCTGTGATTAGCCCGCTCAAAAACTTCCACTCCTCTACCCCCTCTCCCTCTCTATCTCTCTCTGTCTGTTTCGAACGACTACGAAAAGCCTTAGAAATCATCACTCATTTATAAGTGACGTGCATAACGAAATGTCCTTATTCCACTATAATTATTTGTTAAATACAAAAGTTGACATCTGTCAGTAACCGAACATTCCCATTTATATTACGTAAAGTGACATGCTGAACTGTGTCTTCGGCTGTACACAGGCGGATATTGAATGACAGGGAATTATGCGCTTAATCAATTGGAGAGGACAGGCATAGGAGTAATGTGAGGCACTCTTTTTCTAAATGTACTGTCAGAGGATGTTGGATTCTAAAGCGATCGGTACAGGACCACACCCGTAACTTTACACCAAAATTTTGGAAGTTTGGAGATAATATCATTTACAACAATGTGGGGAAAAAAGTACATTTATCTACACCCTTAAAAAATAAAGGTTTCAAAAGGGGGTTTCACCGCAATGCCACAGAACAGAGGTGCCCAAACTTTTAAGATGAAGGGCCAAAAATCAAACTTGACTGAAAAGTAAACATTTCATTATATCATCTATGTTATATTAAAATGTATCATCTAAAAAAAATTTAAATAAAAATGAAGAAAATAAAAAGAAAAATAATAATTAAATAATTAAATTTTGATTTTCAAAATTTAAATGTAAATAATTTGTAAGCAATGCCAGTTATATTGTTTTTACATTTCAATGCAAAAATTAAACAAAAAAATGTTAACAAAAATATAAATTAGATATGAAGATACATTTCAATGGCATGTTTTTCCACCTATTTTCATCCCCCCTCTTGTGATATGGCATTTTGAGGCAAATCAATAGTTATCAAAGGCCAACGTTGGGCATTCGTGCCAGAGAAGGGCTAATTTTGTGTTCCCCAAAGAACATGTCAGTGAGCAGTTCTTAAAAGAACCATTTTTCTTAGTTTGAAGAAGATTTTATCTTTTTCCACTATAAAGAATATTTTGTGCAATGAAAGGTTCCATGGATGTTAAAGGTTCTTCATAGTACCTTCAACACCAATTAAAAAAAAAAAAACTTTATTTTAAAAAGTGTACATGTAAAATATAAAAAAATGTCATTAAGCAAAGATAGATTCTTTTCACAGAAGGTAACATAACCTTCCTCATCAAGGTCACTAATGTTATGTGGTAAGCAAACAGCATCATGTGAACGCCCCCAACAAATAAACGTGACACTCCTGGCATTTAGGAATTATTCCGGCATGAGGAGAAAGGCCTGAGACTTTAGAGTTGGAGAGGAAGGGAATGAGGGCGACGACAGGGTGGAGGCGCGGGGTCGGTGTCTCCACAGCACATATCAATTAATACCTAAACGCCACGGCCTTGCCTGCCATACTGTCCCCCATGAGTTGCCTGGCTAGGGCCAGGGCATCTGGAAGACAATTTCCTCCAATTAAAAGGAGCGGGGAGGCATTTAAGTGTGGAATGGCTGTTTGATCAAGTCTCCAAGGCTCAAGCACAGATCCAGCCGGCTAAGCTGGAGACTGACAGGCCTGGAGACAGAGAGAGAGAGAGAGAGAGAGAGAAGGCTCGTCTCTCCTGCCCGTTGGCACTGCCCTGTCCTCGGCTGCGGCAAGGGCTGGGGAGGTGCACCTCCTCCACACACCGGGGTTACTGGTGACGGCGGCGGCGAGCACGCAGACCTAGGGACACGCTAACGCTCTTGAACGCTGCCAAGTTCTGCCACACAACACACACTTTCCCTGCCGAATCAGTGCAAGACGCATATGTAAATGAGAGCGTACACACCAGGGAGGAGACATTTTGACAGGATTGGCTTGGTCTGTTTAGCCCCATCGAACTGCTATCAGTTGCACTGCAAAAGGTTGTGGGTTCGATTCCCAGGGAGCACACATACTGGTAAAAAATGTATAGCCTGAATGCACTGTAAGACGCAAAGCGTCTGCTAAATGCATAAATAAATAATAATAAAAATACTTGCAACAACATCAACACCTCTACGACTGTGGCTATCCCGTGCCTCAGCTGTTTTTTATTATTTTGCCAATTTGTAAAATATTTTAAAAATAACACACATTAGCATAAAAATTATGATTACAAATCAATACTGTAGTTTAGGAACAATTTTAGATTAGTTCATAATTAAATACAATACAATGTCGCTGTTAAATAAATCAAACATTTCACATAATATGATAAGCTCAATTCAGATGGCCTCTCAATTGTATACACACACTGTGCATGACTATTTTCTCTCCCTTTCTCACTGTCCACAATAACCCAACATACTGTTTATTGATTGATTTATTTTCGACAGAGAGAGAGAGAGAGAGAGAAGGCTCGTCTCTCCTGCCCGTTGGCACTGCCCTGTCCTCGGCTGCGGCAAGGGCTGGGGAGGTGCACCTCCTCCACACACCGGGGTTACTGGTGACGGCGGCGGCGAGCACGCAGACCTAGGGACATGCTAACGCTCTCAAACGCTGCCAAGTTCTGCCACACAACACACACTTTCCCTGCCGAATGAGTGCAAGATGCATATGTAAATGAGAGCGTACACACCAGCCAACATACTGTTTATTGATTGATTTATTTTCATTTATAAAGGAGCTTACAAGGCTATATTTGTGGTCATGTTAATGCTGGCCTTTCAAATGAATTGTGTGGGATTCCGAAAAGAATGTGTGACTTGACTACATCACAATGTCATTTCAAATCAGAAAAATTAAAAGAGCTGACAAAAATGTCTACGCCCAGACACTATTACAGACATAATATCCGTTAAACAATGACAGTACATCTGTGCCGCCTGCTATTTGTCCCTTTCTATGAACAATGAACCTGAGGAAAAAACAGTTATCTCATTTCAACATTATGAAAGATGCAAACAAACTAAAAGTGGCTGAATGTCTGTATGTCTGTGTGTGTGTGTGTGTTTAATATTCTTCTCTTTAAGTAAAAGTTTTGGGTCATCTCATATAAAGTGACAAGAGAAATCTGCACCTGGATCTGAGTGCATGAGACAGCAAATCAATTTTGCTTGATTTATAAAGACCTTTCATAAAGAATTAAGCACCTGACGTGCGCGCAATAAACGCGTGATGCAACGTGTCATTATAATTCTGACCCTGACAGTGTTATAATTTATGAAGTACCAAAATATGCATACAACAATGCACGGAATGATTTTATTGAGGATCGAAAAGCAGCTCACAATCATGCCAACATACAACATTTGACCTTTTCTTCAATTATTCTCGCACTCCCGCGCGCATTCCTAACCCAATCTCCAGTTTTTACAACTTTCTTGTTCTTTTTTTTTTTTTCCTTCATAAAACATCATTTCCCCAAGCGACAATGTTCGCAACAGTCGTTCAAATCTCCATTTCCAGGGGAGATGTGCGTGTGTTTTTTTTCCGCAGATAAAAAGGTTTTTAAGTCTGATATGACATTTAGCCCTCGGTTGTTGAATGCCATCATAAGGCTTCTGTTCATAAGAGGTCGATCACTGCACAAAATGGCAGGTCTCACCGGCTCTTCCATCTCACAAGTTTTGACACATGGCATGCACCGGGTAACTTTGATCCTAATTCTCCAACCGATCTGTGTTCACTTCAGCTGAAATCCTAAACGCAACGCCCTTGGGGCTGAAGTGAGAAAGTTTGAGCAGAGATTTGAAGAAACTTTCTTACAGCTCCATATCTCTGCTTGGCCAGCACGAGCGAACCTGGTGCGCATCCCTGGAAAGCTTCTGTCCACCTTACAGTAATAATGCACGATGCGTCTTTACACTTAATTAATAAACTTATCCTTACAAGAGCCAAATTTAAAATATAACGGCGTGAGTTTATTTTTTTCTCTCTCTCTCTTTAGAGTAAGTTCATCTAAACGCGTGCAATGGCTTCCAGTAAACGCTTTCGATTATGAAGCCGTTTTATTATCTCACGCGACAACGATTTAGACAATATTGCATCTATTTCAAACAAATCGTGCAATATAATAATACACACACAACATCATTAGCACAAACTGACTTTTAGAAAGCGAATCGAGCGAAATCCATCCGCGAGCCCACTACTGAGCCACTTCTTACCTTTAAATTCATCCGGACGTCAAGACGCGTTGCGAAAGATTGTCTTCGTTGAATAATGAAGCATGTCCACATAATTGAGCTGCTCATTTTCTTATACTGCTGAGGGGGTTAAAGTATATAGCCAACACACACAAACACACGCGCGCGGGCTTCGGACCTGTTATGTTCGTCCTCCCGCAAATCCGTTTCCCAACTGTTCCTCGCGCATCCCGAGTGATGAAAAAGCGCCTTTGAGTTTATTCTCGATATAAACGCATTCATTGATAGCGATCGGCCAGCATCACAAGACATTTCCCCTTATCTGTCTGTTCGGACTCCCCCTATCTGGACGGTGAAAAGCATTGTACCGTTAAAAAGACACTCCATTGTCGTCCATTCACAGAGAGCTGAGAGTCTTGCGGCATTTGATGGGACTAAAAGCTTGAACCCTTAATAAAACAGCCCCGGTGCACGGAATATCATCTCGAATCGTCTATTTTCCCCACGCGGAGAGACTCAAAGGCTATATTCACTCCATCGGATCATCTTATTGACCTTGACTTCCTCGTAAACACTTATTTAAATCTGTCTATCCTCGCTCACATTGTCAGCCCCGTTATTCAGACGAGGCGTAATTGGCTTTGATGTCTGTCGCCGTTTAAATAACACCGTGGATAACACTACAGATAGCTACAATTGAAAAATAAATGTGCTTACCTTTTGGGGAAAGTATCTTAAGTCTTGTATCCTCGAGAAAAAGTCCAGTGAGATGAGCGGAGAGCGCGAGCATCAGACAAAGGAGGAAATGGAAAAAAAGCAACTTTTATTTTTTTTTACAAAAAAAAACTTCTATACTGTACTTTATAAGTCCCCCCCCCAAAAAAAATAAATAAAATTAAATAAAAATTAATTAATTAAATTAAAAACAAAACATTATAATAAATAAATACATAATCCTAGCATGTATTATAAGTAGGCACAGTCTTTAAGAAATTATTCATATTATTTATGTATTTACGTTCGTTGCCATCACGCAGTTATTTTACAGCAGGACCTTTCTAATTAGAGAATCGAATCAATAAGACTGATTATGAATGATTTCTGTATTAGGAGCTGGTGACATCTAATGATACGGCGTATTTACACAGGCAGGACAAAACACTTATTAACGTGATCCAGAGAACTGTTACCATGTGACAAGTTGCAAAGTGGAAGGTTTTCCTCTTTCTCTTTCTGCTTCACTACACAGTTGTGTGTTTGTGATATTTAGTGTTCAAAGGAGCATTAATCGTTATTAAATCCCGAGGCAAAGGCTCGCCTTCTCTTTATTTTCTTTCCAGACAAAACACACGTTTTAAAAGATAGCGCATTCATTATTCACTATGAAAATCAGATTCCCGTGCTGCCCCTTAAACGCTCAGGAATTCAGCTCGCATTTTCCAGTCTGATGTGTATGAAATTCCTTTTTGAACAAATTCCAAAATAAAAGTTGTGCCTCTAAAGAAATTAGCATAACCATCCCATCAATAATATCGCTATCTCTATGGGAATGATAGCGAAAGCAGTAGGGGTGTTCCTTTACTCAATTCTTCATGGATTCTCTGTTTCTTTTGAACTTGTTATAGCAAGTCAAGTGATTCTTTATCGGTGACAGGCGTGACAATGCACGACGAGGACGGGAAAGCAGGTCAAAAGGAAGTTGCCATATGGACTTCAACGTGCACTTTCCTAACAATATAGGGCAGAGATCTGCTGCTGCACATATCGTCCTCTCTATTTGTCGTTTATTTTTAAGTGCTTGGGGTTAAATGAAGTTGAAGACATTTTTTGTTGCGGATGAAGTGGGGCAGCTGTATTCTTGTTAAAGTGAATCGCTCGTCTGTGTTTCTTGTCTGTTTACTTCTCCGTGGCTTTTACGCTAACAAACAAATGTGGATGCGTTCGGTTTGGCAGACATCCATTTTATGGATTTTGGTGCAAAAGCAAGGGAATAAGGTAAAATTGTCACGTTGTCTGCTGTGTTTGGAAGGGCAGCATTCGAGATTGATCATTTTGTCTCCGCAAATATCAACTTGTAACAGGAATCAAAAGGTCGAAAGATCCTGACAGCTCGAGTCACGTGACTCCTGACTGCCCGCGAGCAACAGGTGCACTAGGGGAGGAGGGAGGACTCAAAGCATTTCTTTTTATTTATTTATTTATTTATTTTTTTTGTGTAGTC